GTTTCATTATTCTTTAGCTATTCTTCCTAGACTCAAAGGATAAGTTAAAACCAAATCTTTCCTCAAAACAGTCGTAATCAAAGATAAAGTGACTACTATTCCAGAATATTAGTTTTTACTGGTGACGTCACCCCATTTCATAGGTGGAGGTTGGCCAAGGATCAGAATGTTTTTATGTTCACTGCAAGCAAGGCAGGTTAAAATGAGAAAAAGGAAATTTAAACTCATTTTTTCCCTAACTTTGGGAGTAATGTCTGATACACACACACACACACACACAGTATTTATATACATACATACATACTACATACATACACATACACTGTATAATTTCACTTTGAGAAACGGAATTTCCTCTACCTTCCAAACTGCCTCCTTTAACATCATTCTTGCTAAGGGCACATTCCTATCATCCAGAAGCCTTGGAGGCCAGTAACTTACCAATGTCCTCAATGAGATTTCTATTTATTGATACATATATGGTTGCCCAACCCCATAATGACTCTTTTTCTGCTACTTCGCCTTGCATGTCTGACATTGAAATCCTAGTATCATAATAGCCCTTCTTATAAAGCGCTGACCTCTTTGTTTCTTCTCTGTTACAGAGCTCTCAGACTGCAAATCCACAACCACAACTCGAAACATTTAATAGTGGAACGAAGACATTTGAATGGGTTCCATTTCCAGCTTATTGCAGAGATGACGCCACAGATTCAGGAAGGCGTCAAAACTCTGCCCCTGAAAAAATCAGTTCAGCAGGAGAAAATGATGAAGGTGAGGCACTCAAACCCATTTCCTTGCTTCCTAAGCAAAAATCTCAAACAGCCAAGGAATATACTGCTGAAGATGCAAACTGTAGCCTGAGACATTCTATTAAGCTGGAAGATGAAGCAGGGTTTGAGATGTGTTAGCCCACGAGACATTCTTCACTAACAGATGTTCTGAACTATCCCAAAAAGTTTGAGTTTCAAAGTTATGGAAAAGAACTCCTATGCAGAGTGAAAGAACCGCTAGAAGAAAAAAATGAAAGGTAGCCCATCAACAGTTGGATGATACAAGATTACTTTAATTAACAAGGCCTCATCTGTGTTATCTCCACAAGAGACACCTGCTGTTTCTCCCATCAGCGGCCAAGCGGATCGGAGTGGCAAGTCCAAGTCGTCCAATGTTACGGAAGTTAATCTTTCAGCGTAATCTGATTTTAAGAAAGAAATGGGAGCTATGTGCATCATCAATAAATTTGGGGAGGGGGGCAGACATAAAAGAGGAATTAATACTATAATTGAGTGACCACTGCTCATGCTAGGGTGTTAAACAACATAGTAAATAGAAAATCAGTGATTTCCCCTGACAAAGGCACCCAATACTGAAACGTCTTGGGAATTATTTTATAACATTGGGAGCTTTTCAAGACCATGAAAACATGTCCATGTACCCACTGACTGGGTTTTTTCCCCTCATTTAAATGTGAAGTCCAAAGCTATCCCTCCATATATAAATGTGAATGAATCATCAACCAGATAAATAGAAAAGAAAAACCTGGAAATAATTTATATAAATAATAGATTGACATTAAGCGCCAGCTTCAAAAGCAGCAGGAGGAGCTGACTCACATTCTTGGATAATCTTTGCAAAGGAATAAATTGAAACACTCAAATTTTTGTAATATTAATGGTTAGAAACTAGGTAAAAAAATAATTAACCAAGGTTTTATAGCCAACAACATATTCAGAAATTATGCAACTCCATTTGGCTCCGTTAAAAATTTAATGAGACATCACAGTAAGGATTTTTCTTTTAGGTATTAAACTAGGTGAAGAACATGGCAGAGAATTAGTGGTTACCTAGACATATAATAGATTTTTGTATTGGTACGTACTGGTTTTATCTGCAGGTCAAATTACGTTAATTGTTTCCGATTCATAGATACTCCAAACTGGATCTTGATAGTCGTTTTGCTAAGCAAAGATGATGGGATTTGATAACCAAGAATAAATGAATAATATAAACAGGCAATGAGTAATGGCATTTGCAAAAAAGCTACAAAAAACTCTTGAAGCAGGTCTTAAAGTTTCATTATTCTTTAGCTATTCTTCCTAGACTCAAAGGATACATTATAATTCTAACACAATATATAGTGAAATCTAGACTGGTATTTGATTATATAGGCCTGTGTAATTAAAGTACTGCTGAAGAATTCCTATCTAAAAGAAAATTTCCATGGAGTATTCCATAAAATCCAGCAAAGGAAAGAGAGGGGTTTTTTTTAATGTATTTCAGTAACTGGAGGAATGGAGTTCCATATGATCAGCTTGTTGGAAATGAAATAGGGCAAGTGTATTGAATTGTCAGGAAGAGCTTTAAATAAACATTTGGAAATACTGTACCGTAATTTTCTTGTGTTTATGCAAAATGCTCTCATGTTCTTTAATGTGCACTTCATTCAGATAGTCAAACAATTTTAAAATATAGCAAAATGAACACAAGTGCACCAACAGCTGGAACTTCAAGCAGACTGAACTTAGCCACCTTTGCACAGTTGCAGATACAGGTTCTTGTAAAGTAACAAAGAGTTCAAATTTGAACTGTGTTTTTGTGATAACAGAGTTCTTTTTTGAAGAGATCAAATGCAACAAATCCATTTGGTACGTGGAATGTATGGAACCGAACACATTAGTAGAACATTGTAATTCCATCTGAAGAAAGTAAATTACATTATTTTTGCTTAGTGAAACAGTCAGAACATTTTCATTAAAGTCTTTAATAGATGTGCAAGAATATAAATGATCTTAGCTGTTTAACTGGTTAGGATACCATCTTTTGCACAAATAAAACTGGCCAAAGATCTCAACTAGTTAATTATACAAAACTACAAGAACATATTTACTGTTTTACAATCATTAAATTAGCTAGAGTGTTTTCATTTACATTTCATTTACATACTAAGACAATTATATCATTACCAGCTCCATTTGCAATATATTAGGATTTTTTTTTAAACCACACATTTAATTACATCCTTCATTTTTCTTTAATTTATAAAACAAGAACTTTATATAAAAAAATTTCCCCTTCGTCATGGACAGAACATTATACATTGCACACGAGCAGCAACCAACTTGTAACCAGTAACTTATTTGGCAACACAGCAACATTGTAAATGCCTTAAATTGTAAATAAATCAAGGACTTGTTTTTTATGCCTGTTGATCAAGTGTGTATCCACGTCCTAGTCCTGCTCTGATGTTCTGACAGTATACAAGTTCAGAGCAAAGTATTCTTTCTCACGGTTTTGGCAAACCCTTTGCCCCAGAATCAGATGGCATTTGGTGGTCACATGGCCCTGCAAAACCAGCTGCTCGGCTGTAAATCCAAGGGGAAGAGAGAGACAAGTCAGGGAATACTGAATTGGTCGCTGAGAAGGGGGAAAAAAAATAGGATACTCAAAAGTATTTTCAGGGATTGCTTAAAAGCAAAGAACTTCTCAACTAGGTATCTTGGTTATTTAAACCCCAAGCATTTGAGGAAAGTAACTGACTGAATTACTAAGTGCTGGTTAGAATAGAACTAAGAACCTTGCTCAAAATAAAACAGCGAGTTTCAAGAACTCTGCATGGGAGTGCTAACATTTTGTTATCATACATGTGCTTTAATTAGTGGCCAAGGGAAGGGAAGAGTCCAAAACAAAATTGCAATCAATGGTTCTTTGCCAGATTTATCAGTCTTTCAGATTTGGCCGTCTTATCCTAGCATCTCACGGCTGCAAACGCAACTAAGGTTTCCTGTGCAGCAGCCAATGCAGGGTTATATTCTGAGAAACCCAGACGAGAGAAGCAGCGTAGAAATGGTTGCAAGTCATTTGACGTCTACCAAATCGTGACATGTGGCATTTTTCTACCTGCTGCAGAATGTTGTTCTCCAAAACTGCAACTGACCCAATCGAATTTGGAAAGGGTTACTGTATTAGATTAGCAATATGCACTAGTTCAATCTGAAATGCACTGAATTTTCTTTAAATTCCAAAAACTGACAAGCAATTAGCCTGATGAAACACCCCACAGTTCTCCAAAGAGGAAATATGGACATTTTTATATCCATATAGCATTTATATCTGTGGTCCCTTTTCCCATCACGAAGTTGCTGCTTTGATAGTGTTTCATTTATCAAGACGATCTCTGGGAGAGCTAATCGGTGATACACGGCAAACATTTCAAAGCAGTCATTTTTAAGTAGGAGGTGTGCTTTATCAGAAAAAAAATGTAGTATGTTGATGGATATCCTAGAATTCTTTTAAGGCTAAGATCTATTACGTTCCTATTGTTCCTTTTGAATATTGCATTGATAAAAATATTATTCAAAAATCTAGTATACAACATAAGTCATTGTAGGCACTGCTCAAGTATTTTCATAAATCCACCATGTGCAAATTTAAATTTTCGGATGAGATTTTCATAGTATTTTTTTTCTCCCACATTCAGCATAATCCAAATTTTTTAGATGCTAAATTCTAATTTGGAATTGTTATTGCTAAGATTCCTGTCCATTCTGAAAGTTCTATGCAGACAATTATGAATATTAGATAGCAGCTGTTAGTTGTAGGTTCCATGTGTAAAATACTTTTCCTTTTTTTAAATAACCAGAACTTACAGGGTTCATCAAATGTTCCAAATATGGAATATTTTAATGTAGTTTATCCATTTAGGCACTTAAACACTGTACCCAAATTTGTTATCATTGCTAATAAAACACAACTCCTTTCTATTTATTTACCAAGTGTGTGTATCCGTGTGTGCATACATAGATATGTATGTACACACACACGTGCATACCCACGCACACACACAGACGTTTAGGATAGGTACCACTTGTGAAAAAAGGCATCTAAAGAAAGCTTCAACATCACTAGCAATTGTATTCTGGATGTTCCACCATTCTAGGAGGCTGTTGCATGGAAATGTCCATTAAAAGTGAGTTACTTTCAAAGCCGTCTGGAATCTCTCCCCAGGATGCAACAACCGTTACTGACCCCTTGTTGAAGCAGGCACGAAGTGCGGCATTCTTCATGAAGCCAGCTCTGCCAGTTCCCCCAGACTTAAAAAAAAGAGAGGAAGCCACCCACCCAAATCATGTGTTTTGATTTTTCTCAGCGGCCGTTTTATCATTGGTCTCCATTCAGAACCTTATGGTTACCCCCAGCCTTGCATGCATATACTGTAGTTCAGGATTAAATGTCCAAGTGCATTCACATTTTTCTCTGTGCCTCTTTCTCATACTGTTTCCTCAGTTGATAGCATCAACGGGTTAATATATTCAAATCCTTCAAACTCCGACTGGTCTATTCTTTTTATTACATCTCTGGAGACAGAAGGAGAGAAAGACATACACACAAAATTAACTCTTGTCTGCAACTGTTTTATCGGAGGCCTACAAACTGAATACTCGGCTGAGTGGACAAGCCTGATCAAAACTGATGAAGCCTGTGCAGAAGAACTTGTTCTCCTTGAAATAAAGGGTGCTTGTGTGTCTGTGCGCTTCCAGTTTGTGGGTAAGCAGTGAAACTGGAGGAAAACACAACCCAGGAAGTACAGAGAGAGGCACGTTAGGAAAACTGTTTCCAAAACAAGGAATAGGAACTTCTCTATTCCAATCTTTACAGTTAGGACAGCACAGCCTGCATCTGACGCAGTGGGTCGACCTCAGGAACAATTCCTTATGGCTGAACAGAAGAACACTGCCAAGCAGTTTCCTTTTGCTTTACAAATCCTCTCAGATCTGAGTTTGAGCACTCTTCTGCATTATATAGACAGGCAGAAGATAGGGCAGAATGATTTAGAATTGTTCTAGAACAGGGTTCCTCAACCTCAGCAACTTTAAGATGGGTGGACTTCAACTCCCAGAAATTCCCCACCCCCCAAGGGGGGCTGAGGGTTTTTGGGGGTGGTAGTCCACCCCCCTTAATATTGTTGAGGGTTGGGAAACCCTT